GGGGACCGGGCGGGGAGCCAGCTCTCCAGACGCTCCCTGTTCCCAGGGCAGCAGTGGCTGCTGCCCAGCCTGCCCCTGTGCGGAGTGCGAGCCCCGGCCCCAGCCCGAGCAGACCTTCGGCTCAGCCCTGGAGATTTCTGTGGGGCTTCGGAGGGCTGGCCTCCAGCATGAGCCCTCCTGCTGCTGTGGGACCTTGGCAGCTGCACCTCTTCTGAGCCCCTTCTGAGCCCCTGAGCTTCCGCACTGGGCTGTCCGCTTGGGAATGAGCCCATCCGTCAGTGCGTGCCTGGGTGTCGGGCTTATGTGGGCCAGGTGGGAAGGACGGGTTCTGATTCCATCTAAGTGTTGGTCAGTGCCTTTTTGGAATCGAGGTGTAGCTACCTTCCTTCCCAGATAACAAATGGCTCATCCTCCCTTGGGGACAGAAAGAAGGGACCCCCCCAGATCAGTGCCTCCTTTAACCACCCTGAGGCCGTGGACTCCGGAGCAATTGAACAGACTGGCTGCTTTGAGATCCTTTGGTCTCTAAGTTTTGCCCTTAGTCCCCAGTGCCATGAACTCTTCTTTATCCTGTCCTGCTTTCCTGTCAGAAGGTCTTAACTTCAGGCTTCGAGGGACCATGAAGTCCTTGGGCCTGTAAGCACATGCACATAGACTGCTCTGGGAAGGGGCCATGCTCTGGCCTGGTCTCCAATGGTGGCAGCCGCACGTAAGAGGTCAGGAGCCGCTGCTCTAACGTGTTAGTGATGACAGGCCAGCAGGTGGCACGGCGGCTAAGGCAGCTGGGTCCCACATGGCTCCTGCATCAATTCCTACACCTGGCAACTTGGAAAACACACCAGGCACATGTGCGTGCATGCCCGAAACCTGAGATGAGAACAGAGGAGAAGGAATTGCATCGTGGCCATCCCTCTAGGGGTGATTTCTCACTTTCCTCTCTCTGTGTCTCTCTCCCTGGTGAGCACATGTGCCCTATAGCAAAACTAAAAACAAAAAAGGACATTCTCCTCTTCAGTCTCTTAACTGATGAAAGTTGGTTAAATTTAATTAAAGTTTGAGGGAAAATGTTTTTTGATTCCTGAAAGCTTCTTCTTTAGCTTATTATGAGGAACTGTTCCTCCCCGCCCCCCCAACCCCATAACCTGGCAGCATCAAGGCTTATGTTTCTGAAGCTCCATTTTCCACCCCCTCGGCCAGCTGGCCTAGTGCGGGCTCTGTGATGCAGCACTGGTCTGAGTTCAGTCTCTTCTCCCATTTCTATTGGGAGTTCTTTTAAGTTTATTGATTGATTCATTGAGAGAGAGAGAGAAGCATCCTCGATAGGGTCTCACCCCACGGTCCCCTGCCAGCCCGTGTCACGGCACATGTGAGTCCCTGAGGACCCCCTGGCTCCACGTGCCCAGCACTGCGGCGTCGTGGCACCACTGTGCGCGGTGGATCCATGCCGGGGTGTCGCTGTTAGCTGAGAATTTTCTCCAGGAGGATCCGTTAGCCTCAGTCGACGCTCACTTGGCCCTGGGCCTGCTTCTCTCCCTGCAGGCCACGTCCCCCCACCCGTCCCAGCAGCCCACTGTGGACGTCGGCCAGCTGCACGACCCCCAGACCTACGCCCAGCACACCGTCCAGGTGCAGCACATCCAGCTGGCGGAGCCCCCCGCTGCAGCCCCGCCGGCCACCCAGGTGATGCCCAGGCTCCTCGGAGCAGTTAGCGTGGCCTCGGCGACTCTCGGTGTGGGTGCTGGGTGTGACGCCGTGACTCAGATCACGTCCCCTCGCCTCGAGGGGGTACTGTGGCTTGGGGACTTCCGTAGAGTGTGTCAGTTACGTTGGCATCACACACACACCTCCATTACGTTACTGCCCCCCTGCCCAGGCGGAGCCCCGGGGATGGTGTCCCAGACCCCGCACTGGCCTCTGCTTCCCACTCGATGGGGGCCTTCGTAAAGTTTGTGGAGGCCTAGTGGGTAGCATAGGGGTGAAGGTACTGGGCTCCCCTGTGGGGACCTGTGGTTCTAGTCTCGTACCCAGAGGCTTGACCCTCATGCTGGGTGCGTGTGTGCACATGCCCAAAATCTTGAGAGAAGAATGGAAGAGAAGGTTGCAGTGTGGCCATCTCCCCGGAGGTGACTTCTCATTTTCCCTCTCACTGTCTCTCTGGTGAGCACACATGCCCTATAGCAAACATTTCTCTAAACAAAACAAAAAAAGCACAACTTCATAGAAAAGGAATGGAATGAAATTCTGAGCTTATTTGGCGTAAAGAGGTTGGAATCTATGCACTGCTTTTCATAACATGCATTTTCCATACGTTTTTTTTTTTCTTTTTTAGGTTTTTGTCACAGGGAGCATGAGCTTACTAGAGAGAGATAGTGAGAGGGGAAAGTGAGAAATTATCCCCCAGGGAGGATGGCCACTCTGTAATCCCTCCTGCTCCACTCTCCTCCTGGGGTTTTGGATACACACACACTCACACACACAGACACGCGTGCGCGCCCCCGGCATGATCTTCAAGCCACCAGGTCTAAGACTCCGACACTCGAACTGCGATCAACCATGTGGGAGTCTAGTGCCTTAAGCACCACACCACCTGCTGGCCCCTCCATAAACTTTTTGAAGATCCCTTTTTAGGGAACCAGCAGTTAGCATAATGGCTATGTCGCTGGACTCCCATGTAGCCAACCGCGATTCAAGTCCCGGACTGGGTGGCTTAAAACTCACGCCGGCCGCGTGTGCCCGTGATCCCGAGAGGAGAATGGAGGAGAAGGGACTGCGGCGTGGCCGTCCCCTCTGGGGGGTGATTTCTCGCTTTCTGTCTCTCTGTCTCGCTCTGTCTGTCTGGCGAGCGCACGCTCCCTATAGCAAAAACCTCTCAAAAAAAAAAATAAATAAAGATCCCTTTTTAGTGTGATTGCCATGCTGCTTCTGTGATTTGGAACCGTGACCCCGTCAGCATCATGTGTTCCTGTGTCTGTGCAGTGGAGTCTGTTATTGGGATATAAGCACAAGAACCTCATTTGGTCAACATGGACCGCATGTATGACAGTGGCCCCGTAGGCTGCAGCGGGCTACATGTGTAACACGGACCACACACGTGGCTGGTCCCATAGGCTGCAGCAGGCTACACGTATAACACGGACCACACACGTGGCTGGTCCCGTAGGCTGCAGCGGGCCACGTGTGTACTGTGTAGCTCAGTGTGACTAGCTCTCCATCCAGGTCTGCGCAGGCCACACGAGCAATCCACCCAGTGACGATTCTCTCAGTGCGTCGCTCTGCAGTGTGCGGCCGTGGAGAGAGGTCACGGGAGTTTGGAGGAGAGGTTATGTCCAGCAGGGAATCACAGACATTTAAAAAACATTGTTTACTTGATGTTATTTATAATTATTATTATTTTAAACTTTGCTAAAGAGTGCGTGCACTCATCAGAGAGCAAGGGAGACAGAGACAAAGCGACAGAGAGAGAGAAGGCCAGTAAGAAAGCAGGCCTCCAGGCCCAGGATTCAAACTGTGGTCAGCCACGTGGGAGTTCAGCTCCTCAACCACCATGCCACCTGCTGCCCCAATTTTGTTTTCTTTTTTCAAAAAATTATTTACTTAACTTTTATTATTATTAATTTTTAAAAAGAACTTTATTTTATCTTTCTTTCTTTTATTTTAATTTGACCATAGAGGAGCAGAGTGAGAGAGAGAGAGGGAAAGGGAGAAAGCAGACCGCCAGGCCCAGGACTTGAACTGTGGTTGGCCATGTGAAAGTCCAGTGCCCTTAACCACCATGCCACATGCTGGTCCTAACTTTTATTATTATTCTTTAAATTTGCTATAGGGCACATAGACTCACCAGAGAGTGACACAGAAAGAGAGAAAGTGAGAAAGCAAGCCGCCAGGTCCGTGGCCATAAGGGAGTCTGGAGCCTCTACCACCATGCCACCTGCTGGCCCTCAAGGACGTTTTTGTATAAGGAATGGCCTTTGAATCGGGTCTCAGAGGAGGGGCAGGTTCTTGGTGTGTCCGCTGGGAGAGGTACTGGGGTCTGAAGAGAGGGTGCCCTGTGAGCCAGACCCGGAGGTGGGGTGTTGGATGCCTTGTGGAAAGTGGGTCTGTGTAGGTTAGTGGCAGGAGACGGTCTCGGAACAGCAAGCCGGGACATGGTCGGGCGCTGGGCGCGGAGGCCTCAAATGGCTGACCATGGCGCTGGGCCTTGTCCCGTGGTCGGGAGTCGGCCTCTCCCTGGAGGGAGGCCAGGCGCGCAGCTGTACTGGACTCCGCGACTGCTGGGTCAGCCAGTGCAGCTGGAGGAATCGCACCTCGGGCTTCTGTTTCCAGTTATGCCCAGATTAGCCTGTGACATGGGCAAGGTATTTCACCCCTCATTTTTTTAAACATCATATAAATAATTACACTTTACCTTTCAAACTAGTTTATTAAAATTTAACTTTTGGGTATTCTAATAAGTAAGCCTTTGAAGCAAGAAATATTAATTTTATAGTTATGATTGTTTTTCACTCTTTTCTTTTTAAAGACTTTTTTTGAAGTTCATTTATTTTTTCAAGTAGCAGGAGAGACAGAGACAGGCAGAGAGCGAGGTACCCCAGTAGGATGCCTTCACGTGACTCACCCGGCCTTAGCAGCACGTGTGTGCATACGTGTGCCTGCTGTGCTTAGGGAGGCGTCGGGCTGTGAACCCGGGACCTCCCTTGTAAGTCCGCCTCACGGAGTGCTGCGAGCCTGCAGAGCTGCCGAGCAGCCCCTCACCTGCCCTTGTTCAGAGCGCCGTGGCCTCGGCAGTGACACTCGCTCCTGTGGTCAGCACGCGTCCCAGCGCCCACGCTCACCTCTCCTCCGGGGCTTTCTCTTCCCAGGTGGCCGGGCAGCCGCTGAGCCCCTCCGCCCGGCAGGCGCAGCAGGGACTGAGCCCCCCGCACAGCCCCGGCAGCCCGTCCTCTCAGGGGCAGGCCCTGCAGCAGCCGCAGCAGCACAGCCCCTCCGTGCAGCACGCCTACCTGCCCAACGCCTGGAACCCCTTCCGGGGCTACTGTAAGTAAGGGCCGGCCGCCCTCGGGCACACTGGCGTCCCGCTGCGTCATGACTTCGCCTGCTTCACGGAGGGTTCTCAGATCAGAGCGTCACTTGGCCGTTTTCTGTACCCCGTGGGGCCATGGCAGAACCGAGGTGTGTGATGGAGAGCCGCCCTGATGCGACGTTTCCAGAGGCGGTGGGGTACTGCGCGAGGCAGAGTAGCCAGGTGCACACGGGGTGTGCTGGCGGCAAGGTTCCTCCCTCCCTGCGGTGTTTGTCCAGTGCCGTGTGGCAGTTGCCGTGCTGGCCCGGGGAGAGGACGTTGGCGTCAGTGCCAGGAGTGAGTCTGAACCGCACGTGTCAGTGCTCACAGCCACCTGTGGGTGTGTAATCGTGACTCGCATCTCACAGATAAGGCAGTGTAGACGTGTAACTTGTTGGCAAGGCCTGGCTAGTAAAGAGGGAGGGAACCAGGCGGTCTGGCTCCAGAATGTACCTCTGACACCCCTCGCCTCTGTGTGCCTCCCCCAGGAAGACAGTGTTCGTCAGGTCTTGGGGAGATGGACTGGGAGGGTGAGCCTAGACCCTGGCATTGGTGTGGAAGCAGCCATGGGCCGGCCAGGGGTCACGGGCCAACGTCGTGATGGGGATTTTGGCTTTGGCCATGGCCAGAAGTAGGAGACATGCAGGGAGAAGGACAAGGCGGGAGACGTCCCCGGCTTGTCCAGTAGGACTGGGTGGGGAGGAGGGCCACAGCACCCCGCCTCCTCCCTCGGCAGCCCCCTCTCCATCGTCTCAGCAACCTGTGGACAACCACAGTCTGAAAATACTGAGTAGAATATTCCAGAAATGAACAAGTCATAAGTTCTAAGTAGCTCTCTTTACCATACACTCGGAATTGTTCTGTTTTGTTCCTGGTGGCTGTTACTGTAAGTTACTGTTCCTCATTTATACTTTAAAACTCATCGTAGGTGTGTGAGTGTAGGAAAAGCAGGCTGTCTGGGACGCAGTACTTTTTAGTTTCAGGGCTCCCCGGGGGTCTTGGCATGTACCTTCTATGTGCAAGGGCGGCTGTGGTATTGCTTTCTGCTTTGGGACTTGTCCCTGCTGTGATGGATCCTTGGTGGCGTTAAGGAGATTCGCTGCAGAGTCGGGCTCACGTGACACTGTTCAGCCACTTTAACAAGGGCTGAGTCTAGTTTCAGTTCGGGGAAAGA